TTGAGTCTCCGGTAGATATCGTTGCTTGCCCTGTGGATGATGCTCCCTGCAGTCTTGTTCGCGCCTTGGCTGTCAGCTAACGAGGGCATTCGCAGCCGGGCCTCAAAGTCAGCTAGTCGCTTGTTGAAGTACAGGTCCAGCGGTGGCACTCATGTCTCTGTTTCAAGGTTTCGAATAGGAGTGGACTTGAAGGCCCCTGCTACTATCCGTAGGCTCTTGTTCTGGGATTTGCTGAGGGCTTTGGTGATCCCTCTTGTTGCTGGTTTACCCCCTTTCTCGGTGGGGATGTGGAAGGATGATGCGCCATAAGCCAGTGCTGACCAAATGCACTTAGAGTACACCTCTCTTGCTTTAGTTAGCCCCAGACCCCATGTCATCGCCCCAATTCTCGTCAGAGCATAGCTCTGGGTCTTCAGCTTCCGCTCTACTGCTCCTAGGTGTGCCTTCCAATTAAGCTTCCAATCCAGCCAGACTCCAAGGAATCTAGCTGACGTTGTAGGCTTCACTGGGCTGGTACCTCTTTCTGGCTGCACGAGGTTCAGCTGGTTGTCCCACTGTTTGTGCCCCTTGTTGAAGTGAATCAGTTCGCTTTTCTCTGGGGCAAAGGACATTCCCCGGGTTTCTGCCCAATGCAGGCACGTCTCCCACGCTGCCTCCAACTGTCGAACATTAGCCTCTGGCTCCCGGCCAAAGACTAAAAGGTTGGTGTCGTCTGCAAACCCTGTGATCGCCAGGTGGGGATGCTCTTCTTTCAGCTGTTTGTACAGGGAGGCGATGTAGAGAATGAAGAGGATTGGGGAAAGAGGAGAACCGTGGGGGACACCAGCTCTTATCGTTGTTAGTTGAGCTGCCTGTCCATCAAAGTGAAGGGTGGCCTCCCGGTCGGTCAGCCAGTTCTTCGTCCAGAAGACTAACCACCTTGGAAAGCGCATTTCTCGGAGGGTAGCCAGCAATCGGACGTGGTTGACTGTATCGAAGGCCCCTGAGATGTCCAGCTGGAGGAGCGACGCTGCAGCTTTCTGCCTCCACGCTTCGTGGACCTGTGCTACTACTAGCCGGATCGCCAGCTCTGTTGACCGGTGTGCCCTGTTGCCCATCTGCTCGTCTGGAAGTAAGCCGTTGGTTTCTGCAGCTTGAGTGACCATTTCAGCTACTACTGACTCTATTACCTCCCCTAAGGTCGGTAGCAGAGCGATGGGCCTGTAGCCTCCAGGCGTTTGGTATACTGGCGGGGCCTTTCCTGGCTTTGGCAGCACCACAGTCTTTGTTCTCTTGCACCAGTTTGGAAACCATCATAGTTCAAGACATCTTGTGGCCAGGATGGCAAGCACCTTGGCCAGCGATTTCCCACAGGCTTTCAGGAGGCCCATGGGGAGCAGGTCCTCACCTGGTGCCCTCCAGGGGCTCGCTTTTCTTATTGCCTCTGCCACCTCAGCCGGCATCACCTTCTGCTGAATATCGAATCCCTGCTCCCAGTCGTCGAGGAAGACTTGGTCTTGAACGTCGGCGAGGTTGGCTGCGGGGCTTGGAAAGAACCTTTTGGCGAGAGCCTCAGCCTTCGGGTCATGGTCCGCAGCCACCACCTGTCCTGAAGCATCTGTGAATGCTGGCAGCCTGGGGGGTTCTGGTGGCAGGAAGCTCCGTAGCCTGGCCCACCTCTCTAAGGCACACATCTTGTCTGGCGTCTTCGCTTCGCTTGCCTCCTGCACCTCGCAAGAATCGAGGGGAAGATTGATGTTAGATTCCAGGTCGAGATTGAGTTAAGTACTACTATCTTAACGCGGGATTGTCCTCCTTTAAGGAACCACCAAAAAAAATCAATCAGGCATCAACAGCATTTCAGTTTCTCACAAACACCTTTCCGTCCAGGTTACCCCGCTCGTTGGTATGTGGCCAGAGTCCGGCCCGGCCCCCAGCCTGCGGCCTGACCACCTCACGCAAACGACCGCGCAATGCATTTATGCAGCGCAGGGGCAAATGATAATGTTGGCACTCCACTGGCATCATGTGTGTAAAAGGCACCACAATCATGCAGTCCCCGCTAAGCCGCGAAGCAAACTGAACAATGCCTTATGCCTCATGGCCCATGCTACTTCTGCCGCGGAAAGGAGGCCTTGAGCAGGACGAAGTCTGGAAATGCTCAATTCCATCTAACTACGTCCTCGGGATTACAAGTAGTAGTTTTTACTTTTTGCCGAGAGCAGGCCGGGCATGATCGATGGTCCAGTGCTCGCGACTTCTCCGAGCATGACCGGACTCATGGGTCAATGATGCACGCCAAACGCGGGTCTGGTAGTGCAAGTCCGAGTTTCATATCTTTAACGGGCCTTCGGCGACATGAATAACTGAAGTCAAAGTTCGAGGTATCCCGAGCTTCCAGATGTTACTGTCCACTAAAGTCACCGGACAACAGACTCGGAGGAGCCATAGCGGCCTAGTTTTGAACTGAATCACTTCCAACGCTTGCGAATGAGGACGGAGACCTAAGGTAGGTAGGTGAGTGACACAAAGTCAACTGAATCCACTGAGTTTACCTTAATTACCTTGGGTATAATAGGAAGAAAACCAACTTACCAAGTAGAGGGTTGGAGTATGAATGAGCCCAGGAAAATTTGTTGAGGCTTCATTAACGCCTGCCTGTGTTCCCATGCAGGAGTGTTGATCTTGCTGATGCGCCATTGGGGCGGTATGAATGTCACGGCCCCGTCCCTTCTGCGGTGTGTTTTCCATCCGCTGAAGTACCTGCCCGATCTTCTACTATTCAACACTGTCGGGCAACTTGAACACTAAGCAGGGCAATCATGATGGCTCTCGTCAGGGTACAGAACCTAGCTGCCGATCCAACTTGAACCAAATGCCCTTTCCATCCGAACGGTTGCTGGGCTGAATTGGGCAAAATCCCAAGTTTTTACGTCAGGCTCCTTACGCGCTGCATTCCTCGCTCCTGCTCTTCCTGCTGGCTCTCTCGAAGGGCACCTTGAATTCTTCCAGGTTCTCGCCACCGCTGTCCTCCATTCTCCAAGTTCCAACGTCTCTCTCTAAATTACTTTCTTCACAACCTCAAGTCTACCCACAGTCCCACACCACCGCTGGCCCAAAAGCACCAGTGCAGCACTGCCGAGCATCATGCATTCCAATCTGATACTGATAGCAGCTCTATTGGCGCTCGTCAATGGCCTTCCTTGGGCGCTCTATCCCCCTCCTGACAGTTCCGAAGTCGATCGCCCGGGCACTGTCTCACTGCGACAAGTGCAGAACCCAAACTTCGTCCGCAACGGTCCGATTCAACTGGCCAAGATCTACCACAAGTACAAGGCGCCTCTCCCGAATGATCTCAGCACAGCGGTGGAGCGTATTCGAAACAGTCTGGGCAAGAGACCGACTGGCAGCGCCGAGACGAACCCCCAGGAGCACGACATCGAGTACTTGACTCCAGTCTCTATCGGCACTCCCCCGCAGGTCCTGAACCTGGACTTCGACACAGGGTCCGCTGACCTCTGGGTGTTCAGCTCTGAGACTTCAAAGAGCGCAGTCAATGGCCAGACTATCTACGACCCCGCCAAGAGCTCTACGGCGAAGAAGATGCAGGGCTACTCGTGGCAGATCGCATACGGCGACGACAGCTCCGCCAGAGGAGATGTCTACACTGACGCGGTCACTATCGGCGGGCTGACGGTCTCTTCCCAAGCAGTCGAGGTCGCAAAGACAGTTTCCGACGCGTTCACCTCGGACTCCGATCTCGACGGCTTGCTGGGGCTGGGATTCAGCACCCTCAATACTGTCGAGCCTGTGCAGCAGAAAACGTTTTTCGAGAAAGCCAGGCCTGAGCTGGATGCACCAGTCTTTACAGCCGACCTCAGAGCTGGTGCTCGTAAGTAACCCATCTTCATCAATGTTTTGCTTTTGTTCGTCCGGAACTCTGGGCTGACACGATGTTTCCGGCAGCCGGCCACTTCAACTTCGGCTTCATCGACCCGGGTGCCTACACTGGCAATATCACGTACGCGCCAGTCGATAACAATATAGGGTGGTGGGTTTGGACATCGTCAGGTTATGCCGTCGGCTCGGGGGCCTTCACGAACACCTCGTCGCCGAGCATTACAGACACGGGTGCGACACTGTTGCTTTTGCCCAGTTCCGTGGTGGAGGACTACTATGCCCAGGTGACGGGCAGCCAATACGACCATTTCCTGGGCGGATACACGCTTCCCTGCAACGGGTCGACCCCCGACTTTTCGTTTGGCGTTGGAGACTCGGGAGCCACGATCACGGTGCCTGGAAGGTACATCGAGTACGCCCCGACGTCTACAAGTGGGAAGACCTGCTTTGGCGGAATTCAGGCGGATGACGGCATCGGCTTCTCCATCTATGGAGACATTGCGCTCAAGGCTGCGTTCGTCGTGTTCGATGCGGGCAATATGCAGCTGGGCTGGGCGTCTAAGCCTCTCAACACCTGAGGAGGCTTGTGGCAATGAAGGGGATTGACGGTACGAGAGTCACGAATCGGGCACCCGTCCTGAGAGGCAACAAACGTTGCGGTGGCCCTGACAATGGCCCATGAATCTCTTGAGATTGGACCCTTTATTTCTCGTTGGTCCATTAACATATATTCCGCAGGTTCAGATCATGGGAGGAAAGATCATCTTTTAATTGCGAGGAGCCCGAGTTTGTACTTATCTGCGCAGCCTTTTCATTTAGTCAGGTGGAAAACGGAACGACAATTCTCATTAGCTCTCCATGACTATCTGCGCGAATGGGATGACCACCTGCCTGCTTGGAGGCCAGAAGCATCAGCTTTTGGTTGAAACTAGACACTTTGGCCTAATTAGCAATGCGTCACTGTCCAGATGAGCCACGCTTCCTAGACCAAGTGGGGAGCTTTCCATGGGTTGATGATGCTTGATTCGAGATGGTAGTCGGCCGAAGTGATGACGGACCTTGTGGATCGTTGACAAAGTCTTGGATGTGGGTGGATCCAACGTCCCAAATAGGAAAAAATGAGGTCGTGCCCGGGTTCGAACCGGGGTTATTGGAAAGTTTGAGGGGTGTCAAAATCCAAAGTGATAACCGCTACACTACACAACCTTCGTAGAGCTGCCACAACTCGATCCTCTTGGTGGTTTATAAATGACAAAAATCAGCGCTCTTCGCGCCCAGAGAAATGAAGTGGTGGTTCTTAATGCTGGCCTGACATAGCGTAAGAAAAAGGAGACACGCCAGGTTCACTTCTTCTCAAAATCCACCAGGTTGGAGAGAACTAGTTGTGCGGATCATCTCACCGGTCGGCTTATAAAACGGGCTTGCAACCTACGGGACTTTCAGCGCGTTCAAGGGTTTGAATGGGCCACTTGCTTCAGGCGACGCAAGGGAGCTGGTCAAGGCAGCCTAGATCTGTTCGGTAGCCCATGACTCCCGGCCCTCCAAATCAGCAAATACCAGTCTACCAGCCCTCCAGAGGATTCCATTTCTCACACACTGGGCCAACCGGATGTTGTAGATTCCGACCGTCTTCGTTGCGGTCAGAGCTGGCATCGATTGTCAGGTCACGTCGCACACCATGCAAAGCCGTAGGCAAGTGCCTTGGATCCAGGGTATCTCCATCCCCAAACACCGTTTATCTCGTTTGTGATTCCAGCTTACTAGAGGCCCATGACCCGACGTTCAGGTCAAATCCCGAGCCCATTCCCAACTGAGCCGTCACACATCCTCCTGCTCATCCAGCGTTGGAAGTTCTACGGGGAACTCCGCGTCGCTCTCGTCTGCGTCCGGATCCAAGAATGCGAAGGCCACGGAGCACGTGTCTGTTAGCCCCCTAGCGCCCAGGGTGTCGTTAGGCCGGGCCTTGATAAGATTCCACCCTCGGGACAAGTCGCTGGCAGTCTTTGGGAGGGCGTAGACGAGCTTGAAGTCGCTGCTTGTTGCCGGTAGGGGAGTTGCCTCGGGCTCTGCGATCGAGGGGGTCAGGCCATTCGGGTAGCGGTCGCGGAGGACTGAGAGGAGCTCGTCGGTTAGGCGTGAGAAGGGCCAGTCGATCATGGCGAACATGAAGATGATGTGGATTCCATATTTGAACCGGATGGTGATTTCGGGATCGCCCGCTGAAGTCGCGTTGCGGGGCTAGGATGGGGTCAGCGGGTCGTGCAGGTAGCTCAACAGCTCGTTAAAGACGTGAAATCCAACGAGATATGGCGGGAGTTACAGGCATGCGGGACAATGCATACCATATTTTGTGTGGCGGCCGAGAGCTCTTGGTCGACTGGTTGGACGGTCGACGCAAGGGGTGGGATTTCGGGGGGAATCTGCGGAAGAAACGGAGCGGCAGGCAGACGTGCCAAGGCCTGAAGCGACGAGCTACAATGCGGGGCCCCCGTGGAGCTTGGACCATCCATCAGGACCCAGACTGATGAAGCATTTTCGAGCGTAAGTTGCTCTCTCACAAGACCTCGTTTGCTAGCGGGCGGTTCCGCCGACAGACCTGTCTGAACCGAGCGCGCCCATTCATTTCCAATCAACCAACAATCGAACGCTGCCGCTGCTGCCGCCGCCACAGATCCAGCGAAACGATGGCTACCACCGACGAAAGCTTGGCCTTGCCAGCCGCCGCTCAACTGCCACCGCCGCCCTCACAAGCCGAAATCGAAGCCATCTATCACAACGCCCGCCTGTCTCTCCCCGCACCTCTTCGGATTCCAATGGCTGCGGCCCTGTCTTTCTTTGCCGGATTCACTGTGGGAACGGCACAGGGAGGCAAGGCAGCCGGTTTGCGCTTCCGTGCAGAGCACGCGCACAAGATGCCCACCAGCAGCACGGGCTGGTACCTGTACCACAAAAGCAAGAATTACCACATGGCCTACGGGGGGATCCTTGAAGGCTTCAAGATGGGACTCCGGGTGTCTTTCTGGACCACGGCATGGTTCGCCATCGAGCAGATGTTTGACTCGTATCGTGGCACCGCCGACCTCCTCAACACGGTGACGTCCTCTGTTACGGTAGCTGGCGGATTCAGTCTCTGGAGTAGGGCCCCCTTGAACTCTTTCGCTGTGCGGTGACACTGTTGGGCCGTTGCTGACATTGAGACCGATGGTTAGATCGCTCTTCCCTGCCCATGACAGCCCGGACGACGAAAGCTGCCCTAGTTGCTGGTTTGATTTGGGGAGGTGTTCAGGACGTCATGAGCCTCGTGAGGGGCCGCCCCGTCGGATATGTCGAATGGACCAAACGTCGGTTTGGCCTCCCGATTCGCGAGCAGCCAAGACGTCCTTAGCGACAGGACTAACGGTTCCTTAAACCGCTTGGTGTGCCACACGAGACCGAACCGGCCAACGGCACATTTGCGGGCCGCCCCGGCGCATCGGGCCCAACCACTCCGTCCATTCGCCGTCTGGCAGAGGCCTAGACCGAGCATTGGATAACTGCGCCGAACCAGGGCCGAACCAGGGCCGAACGAGAAGACAGTCAAACCCACGGTCTGTCAGCGTGACAGCAAGTCATCTGACCATTTGCACGGACCCATTGCTCAGCGAGCGCCGGCATCAACCGTTCTGAACCCCGGCGCAGCCCTTCAGTACCGGGATTGTCTTTTTTAAACGAAGCGTGGTTACGATCTCTCCGGTATCCCTAAGCCGCGGTGCCCCTTTTTCGAATCTCTGAATGGATCGTCGTGTCTCCATTCAGCCCACGGGAATTGGCGAACCGCTGGCGGTGCTGCGCAGCTCGGCCGCTTGGCACCCCCCTCTTTATGCGATGACGGCAGTGAGAAGCTTCTCCACCGCGCGGCTATCTGCGGTTCTTTGATAAAGGACCGGCGATAACATCACCAAGGACCGACAAATCACCATATCGACAATCATCATGTTGCGCAGGCCACTGGGATTGGCGGGGTTCTGGTACGTTCCGAGCAGAAACCGCAGGATGCGATATCGGTGACAACAATGCCCGAGCATGTTTCTCGATTGATATATTAGGAGTTCATCTCATCAGTTGGCGCACTTGGGTGATCAACAATCCGACCCTGAACCCATCGTTGAGATCATCTCGCCGTTGCTGCCACGCTTCTGCCAGCAATTTCACTTCCTGGCCCACGCCATCCAGAATTCGAAAACTACACCTGAAACACAAATCACACAGTACTGGTGCTAGTACAATGGCACCGATTCTCAGGTCCCTGCCTGGCATCCTCCCGCCATGCAGAGTAGCGAAAACCACACAACTTACCGCGACGCACCCTGCGATGGCCTTCTTCGCTCCCGCCATGCATGGCCCTCCCCCACACTCATACACAAGGTCTCGAACAACGACAAGATCGACATCAACAACCACATCAGCCCGGTCATTGCACTCATCCTCGAACCAATCATCGCCGTCCGGGCATCTCGCATTCAACAGTGCTGTCGACTTGACACCATCGGCAACAGCACCCGAGCACCACACTGCAGACATGCCTCCATCACCGCCGCTGGCAGTCCTGCCGCTCACCAATGTCCTTCGTTCATTGATGACAACGACCGTCTCATCGTCCCGTCTTCTACTCCCGCCATCCCTCGCCGCCATGTCTCTCCTAGCCAACACCACAAACCCGGTCCTGAACTCGGAACGGAACCCGATTCTCAAATACTTTCTCAAAAAGACCTTCTACGCCCAGTTCTGTGCCGGCGAGGATGCGCCCGAAGTCCGGCAAACCATCGATTCGCTAAAGAGGATTGGGTTCGCCGGTGTCATCTTAGGCTACGCCAAAGAGGTTGTTCTTACAGACGCGCATATGAAGGACCTCGCGTCATGCAGGTCTGGGGTTTCAGCCGACGAGTGTGTGCGGACAGAGATCATGCCCTGGGCGAACGGGACACTGGAGACGGTGCAACTCGCTTCGCCTGGCGACTTTGTCGCCCTAAAGTTCACTGGTGCTGGCAGACAAGCTCTCCATGCCCTCTCTCAGCGCTTGCCGCCCTCTGAGGCCTTGGAAACCGCCATCGACGGAATCTGCCAGCTGGCCGCGTCGCGCGGCGTGCGCCTCCTCTTCGACGCCGAGCAGCAGGCCCTCCAGCCGGGCATCGACGACTGGTCTCTCCAGTACATGCGCACGTACAACACGCCGGACCACGCTGTTGTCTACGGGACATACCAGGCGTATCTGAAGTCTACACCCTTAACTCTGGCTCGGCACCTCGCGGCCGCCCGCGAGGGCGGGTTCGCACTGGGCGTCAAGCTCGTCCGCGGGGCATATCTCGGTTCCGACCCGCGGCATTTAATCCACGACACCAAGGCCGGCACGGATGTGTGTTATGATGGCATTGCGGAGGCTCTGCTGCGGCGGCGGTGGAATGCCCAGCTCAAGCCGGCGAGCGAGACGGACGAGCCGTCGTCCGCGGTCCCCAACGTCAGCCTGGTCCTGGCCACGCACAACCGCGAGTCGGTGCTCAAGGCGCAGACGATCCTCTCCGAGACAAAAGCCGATAGCGACGTCGCGTTTGCTCAGCTGCAGGGCATGGCGGACGAGGTCAGCTGCGAGCTGGTGACAAGCGGCGGCCGCGATGCGAGGACGTCCCGTGCCTACAAGTACCTTGTTTGGGGGTCGACGGGCGAGTGCATGAAGTACCTGCTGCGGCGGGCGCACGAGAACCGGGATGCGGTCCAGCGGACTCGGGCTGGGCGGGATGCCATGCGGGCGGAACTGTTTCGGCGGGTCAGGGGCCTTTTTGGACTGGCATAGGGGGAGCGCGGGTTCGGGCTGGCGTTACGGACACTATCGGTGTTGACGCTCATTTTCATGGTGATGAAGGTTGACCCAGCGATGCATTTAAGAACGGAGTAAGCACATTTGCGTAGAGATTAGCGAGCATAGAAATCATGTTTTGACTTTGAGGACCATGACCCCTTTCGACACTCGTGAACAACGAACATATCTCAGACCATCGTGGTCCCTGTGAACAACGAGAGATTGTTGAGAAGACGACGAGGATATAGCCTCACCTTGCCCCATGTCGCATTAATATTGACACAACTAGTCAGGCTGTCCCTGAACACCCTTGTTCCTGAACGATAACCCCTGGCAGGACGTGTCCCGATGCGAGCCGTCACCAAACAACTCT